TATCTCCAGTTTTATTTCTGCTGATGTTGTCGTATCAATAAGACTGATGGTCACATGGTTTCTGCTGAAGGCGCGACTTAAACGTTTTTCTTAACTTTGTCAGATCAAATCCAACAAATACATCCAGGAATATTTCAGGCAGCAGAGCTGCTCTTAGTGAGGCTCACGTTAGTTTCCCAGCTCAGTCTCTGAGACTGACGGGAGAACGATGTAATCGGAGTACTCGGACACATCGATTCGCTCCCTCCAAACCCTTTGCTGACTTCCTCCGTGCTGTGAAGTAAAGAGTGAACTCCCCTCAGCTGCAGTCTGAATCAGCTGTGTGACTCCTCCATGGGATCAGTGTGTGCTGCGCTAAAGAGATTCCCACATAATTATACACGAACATTAAAACGTTTTAACCTGATTGTTTCACGCCCAGACGCCTGATCTTTAGCGGCGACTTTGATGTTTGCGTTTCTGTCTCGTTCTCGTGCTGACGGCTCGTCTGTTCTCTGATTCGTTCACAGGATCCAGGCGAAGGTGCCCGGGATGAAACGCAAGACAGAGTGACGGAAACAGGAAGTGGGAGTTGGATTCAGGAAGTCCTGAGCCAGATGATTTGATTGAAGGATGGGGGTGTGTGGGTGGGTGAGGGGAGACGGGGTGGATATGAAGGAAGGCTGGAGGAGGGGGAGGGGTTTGGCGTGGACGCAGCCCTTCCAACTGCATTTGTCAAAATAATAAAACATTTTTTCCAGTTCAGAATTCCTTTTATGTTTTTGTTTTCTGGGAAAGTTGCAGCCGTGTGACGACTCCGAGGTCGGCGCGATGATTTTTCACGTCCCCCTCCCGTTTGATTTTTCTTTTTAAAGTCGAGTTTTGAAATGTTTGTTTCTGCGCTTGAAGAAACGCATTTGGATCTTGAGCGAACCCTCGCTCCCTCCACCCGGCGCGCTGTGGGAGGTCGGCTGCTCCTCGGCCGGGTTCGGGGGATCCGTTTTCTGTTTTTGACTTTAGGTTTTCCAGCTGAAGGGTTCGTTTTCGCGTCGGCTGCGGTCGACGAGCGCGAGCGGCCGGCGGCGCCTCTGTTTTTGTTTCTTTTGGTCTGAATATTCTCGCTGATTTTCGGTGTATTTTTGTGATTTCCTGTCGTGTCCCTGAAGCTTGGAGCTCGTTCCTCGGTACGCCGGTTTCGCCTCGATGTGACGAACGACGGATTCGCGAACGACGTCTTTGACTCCTGATGAGGCAGCGGGGGGAGGGAGGAGGGTCGTACTACCTTTTAAAATCTTCATCGCTTCTGAGTAACTCTAGTTAGAAACATCTAGAAATCTTTGCCGGACGATTTAAACACATTAATTACATAAAAGTCGTTATTTCCACGTCATCGCAGCCGTCTAGAGACAAACTCTGGAAGGAACGTTTACATTCATCAACATCAGAAAATATTTAAAAAGATTAAAAAGAACCATCCATGGGATTAAAGTAAGCATTCTGTCTGTGGAGCCGTTATCTTAATAAAGTTGCAACTTGATGTGACTTTTGGGAAACCTTCAAGCATTTGTTTGTTATGCAAGTATAATTGTGAATGATAAACTTCATACTTCAATTGTGACGATAAAAAGCTTCCAGCCGGGAGCCGTGTTTGTGGAATGCATTGTGAGATGTAAACAATTATCAATAAAGCTTCTAGACGAAAGCCCCGCCTCCTCGTCTGTCCGTCACTTCCTGTTGCTTGTTAAATACGGAAGCCCGTTTATGCTCAAACGAGAGGAACAAAGGAAAGTAACTTTAAAAAAAAAAAAAAAAGTAAAATTCCCAGCAGTTTGATGTGTTGAATGTAGAACTAAATGCACACGAAGAACAATATTTTTATACTTCACTCGTGAGAAATCAAGATTCTTTGGTGATGAGCTGGATCAAGTTGCACTTTAAAAGTGTTTTAAATCATGATTAGAAATGAAGACAATTTAAACCCAGCCCATATTTATAAATACTCTGCAAATTTAATCTTTAATATTCATTCAGTCACAAAGAAAATTATGTAATAACATTAAATATGTAGTAAAATAAAATTTGTTGTAATTTGCTGGGTTATATTTGAATTCAAATTAAATATTCAAATAAAATAAACTGATGAACTTGTGATTCTGACTCATCAACATTAAGATGAAATGAGCGTCCACAGCAGGTTGTCTGTGGGTGAGGCTGAAGCTGCTCCTGAACTGGCTCCTCCAACACTTTCAGGTTTGATGACTAAATGATCGATTACTGATTAAAGTTTTACATTTACAGGCTTTGTTTTTCTTACACATCGTTGGTTGCATAAAGTCATGTCCCGGATGATTCCCGTGTTTGTGGAAGAACGACTCCTGTGCTCTCTGAAGTCTGTTTCTGGGACAGACCTTGGATGAGCTCTGGTTGAGTCTAATGAAAACACTAGTCAGACCTGTCTGTGTGAAAGTGAAGAAAGTTTGTGCTCTTGAACGGGCTGAGTTATCACCACCTGAGACCAGGCGTGACTGCAGTCAGCAGACGGCTCACAGGAGAGAAAAACTTTGAACTCTTCGCAGGTTTAATCTGGATCAGATCAGGTCTGTTTTCCAGCTCGAGTCTCTCTGACGTCAGAGCTCGTCCTCCTCCCTCCTGCTGATGAAGAGTCTGTAAACCTGCATCATCCCCTCACCACTTTTACCCCCCATGTTTTTATTATCATGACTTCCTAATCAATCTTTCACTTCTATTCCTTATAATCCTTTATGCATATCATCCCCATTAATTACCTAAAATAAACTGGTGACCTGTCCAGGTGTACACCACCTCTCCCCCTCAGACAGCTGCGATAGGCTCCACCCTTCATGACTGTCCATGACATTTACACGGGGAGTGGATCCCTGATTCATAAGAGCTCACGATAATGGACGATGATAAGAAATGACTCAACGCAGGGAGGGTTCGGGAACAAATTATTGATAGGAGATTAAAAACAGTAGATAAAGTGTTGGCAGGAGGTAAAGGGTCAAAAACTGCTGCGAGAGGAAAAGTAACTGTTAGCATTAACAGCTAATGCTAACAAGCGAAATATGTGGTAGGAAAGAAGAGAAGACGGTACGATAGAGAATAAATACAGGATATACTGTAGAATAAAGAGTTATTATTGATCGGATATATAAATATATTTTATATATATATAGTCCAGCTTTTATTTATATATATTAGGGGTGCAACAACACACAAAATTCACAGTTCGGTTCTTGGAATATATATACATACATATATATATATTTATATATTTATAGTTGTCAGCCACCTCCTGTACATGGATGACATCAAGCTGTATGCCAATAGTGAACGAGACCTCGATTCACTGATCCACATCGCCAGGATTTACAGCAATGTGTAGTGTGTAGTCGGATGATAACAAACAGAAGGAAGGAAGTCTGAGCCACCGCGGTAAAGTGAGACGTCATTTGTGAGCCGCGGTCAAGCCAGCCGCCTCCTATCCGCCGCATAAATTTCCTTGCGCTTTTACACCAGTCTTTACGGTAGCGCCTTTTCGCTTTATATCCTGATTGAAAGCCTAGACTCGAACAGTCACACGCGCACGCGCGCACACAAATTACAATGGAACAGCCCGATACAGTCAATACAATTATGGAAATTTCAGAAATTCATTAAAAATCATCCTGAATAGTTGAGGTCCAACTTTCAACACATCCCTCCTCTGGGACACCTGCTGTACCTGTGTGCCAAGTTTCAGCCAGATGTACTGTAAAATTCCTCAAAAATTACAGGAAATTTATATTCAATCTAATACAGCCAATACACTACAATTATGTCAATTTTCAAAAATTGATTAAAAATCATCCTGAGTAGTTGAGGTCCAACAACAACATAGACATCTATATTTGCTCAGAAACTCTACTTCATTGATAAGATGAATCCACTACAAATAGTCTTCTGAAAAAAATTTTTTCAATTTGTTTCAGTTTTTAAAAATATGTTCTTAAAGATTACCGCAAGGTTTAGAATGGAATATGTTTTACTTACTATACAGCGGGTGAGATGATGTAATTTAAAAGCAGACTAAAAAGCAGGACATAGAGGACAACAAAACTGTGATGAACTAAAAGAGAGCCCTTTATTGTGACTGATGGAAGAAACTTGAACATATAGGTTACAATAACTGTAATTAATCCTGAAATGGGCGAGACTAAAATACGACTGTTATTAATATTACTGTGACTATGTCAACACTACTACAGACCTGAACATGATGGCGACCAGCAGTATGAGATAAAATATTAAGGGGTACACCCGAGACTTGAACATGAGAAAGGAAAACAGACTCTTAAAACAGGAAACATGACGAATGTATACCTCACATTAACAAACAAGGGCGATTGGAATGAATTGTAATGGTAGGTGACACGAAACGATCTATTTAAACAA